CTCTTTAATTTAAATTAGTTTTGGTAGGGCTATATCAATTTTATTAAACTTTTCAGTAAAATAACTTGTGACCTTGCTGATTTTCTATGAGATTTATTTTTTATTTCTTTTTTGTGTGTGTGCTCTTTTTATTATTTCCATTTCTTGCTTAGTTGAGTTTAATTTGTTCTTCTTTAGCTTCTTGAGTTAGAGGCCTTCGTCAATGAATTTACACCTTTATTTTTCTAATATGGTCATGTTTAAAGCTCTAAATTTTTCTCTAAGTACTGCTTTATTTGCTTCCACACAGTTTGGTATTTTGTTGTTGTTGTTGTTTTTAGCCAGTTTGAAATATTTTTTTATTTCTTTTGTGATTACTTTTTTGACCCATGGGTTATTTATGATAGTTTTACTTAATTTCCAAATTGGAGATTTCCTACATATGTTATTGTTTCCTAATTTAAAGTCACTATGGTCCAAGAACATATTTTGGATAATTTCAGTGTTTCGAATTTATTGAGATTTGTTTTATGACTCAGCATGTGGTCTCTGTTGGTGAATGTTTTCTTGCGTTTTGTATATTCTACTAATGTTGATTACAATATTCTGTAAAAGCTAGTTAGCTCAATTTGCTGATAAAATTCAAATCTTCTATATCTTTGGTGACTTTTTTTTTCTCATTCTGTCAGTTACTGAGAGAGGGGTATTAAAATATTCAAGTATGATTAAGGTCTCTTTTCCTTTTAGTTCTGCATTTTTTGCTTTGTGTGTTTGGAAACTTTTATTAGCTGCATACATACTTAGGACTGTTCTGTCTTTATGATGATTTGATGTTCTATCATTATGAAATGGGACTCTGATAGTATTCTTTGTCTTGAAGTCTGTTTTGTCTGATAATAAATAGAACCACATCAAATTTACTATGCTTAGTGTATGAATGGCATACTTTTTTCCACCGCATTATTTTTCTTTTTCTTTTTTTTTTGTTTTTGAGGAAGATTAGCCCTGAGCTAACATCTGCTGCCAGTCCTCCTCTTTTTGCTGAGGAAGACTGGCCGTGAGCTAACATTCATGCCCATCTTCCTCTACTTTATATGTGGGACGCCTGTCACAGCATGGCTTGCCAAGCGGTGCATAGGTCTGCACTCGGGATCTGAATAGTCAAACCCCGGGCAGCCGAAGCAGAACGTGTGCACTTCACTGCTGCACCACCGGGCTGGCCCCTTTCTTGCTCATTTTTACATGAAATTAGTTCTTCTGACCTTTTAGGAGGAAGAGATGAATAAGGATAGCTTTTCTAGCTTTACTGCCGTAGAGCTTCCTCTTTGGTTGCTTATGCATGATGATTAAAAAAAAAGTGCCCTCGTATTGTCTGCAATTTTCTCCCCTCCAGTGTATCTGCATTTTCTATTTCCTTTTTCCTTGCATTTATCCTGCACAATTTGAATTCAGTTCCCAGCATTTCCTCTCAGTGCAGAGCTTTGCGCTAAGAGGGGATTTCTCTTGGTTTGTGCTGAGAGTTCATATGTCCCAGACTGCTTCCAGCCCTTTCAGAGCTTCCTCTAGATCCTTTCTTCTCTTCCGTGCATTAGAGTGTGTAAAACTCCTTCCAGTTTTAGCTGCAGTTCTCAGATTGGCTCTTACACTTTTCAGGAGTACCTATTTGCGACTCAGGGGTTCTCCTGTCTGTGGGAGGGCCCCCCCCGTTGCCTCCCTCTGCCTCCTCTGATACACATAACGCTACCTGGGTTTTGTGTTGTCAGTGGTGTGTTCCACCTGCTTGCATTTTGAAGTCTGTGGGATGTTTGCCACAGTGCTTTTGTAGATGTTTTCCTGTGAGCTTTGATTCTAATATCTTAGTTGCTCTCTCTGTTTCCGTGCGGGAATTCAGGGAAATTCCAAAACAATTCTGCTGCTGCAGCCATTTCTGCAGAACTCTGTGGCTACTCTTGATTCCATTGCAGAGCGGTATATTTGGACTATCTGATGTTTGTAGTAAAAGAAGTGTGGTGCTGATCTTTTCCAGAAAGGACCATTTAAGAATCCAGATTAGAGGGTTCTTGATTGTTTGGTGACCTCAGGAGTTGTCTCTTCTTGAGATTACTGCATTTTCTTAGTCTCATAGTGGCAGTTCTTCTCACTGCTGGCTCTTGGTGTGCCAGGGTCATTTTGAGAGAGTCTCACAAAACAGAATGTGTAGTGAGGAAGGTCCCAGATGAGACATCTATTCTGTTTAGCGATCCTGCATTGCTGTCCAGTGGATGGCAGCCTCCTGATTTTGGATTTAGATAAAGGGAACAATTCAGAAAGGATGGAACCTCGCCCTACCAACCACACCTTAAATGGGTATCTTTCATGTCATATAAGCTTGAATTAGCTGAATGCCTAACGCTGGGCGGGATTATATAACCAAAAATCCCACCGGAATACCAAGCACCTTGATAACCTGTAGAAATTACTGCCCTCGTTTTTGCTTGGTTATTTGTGAAAAGTGCTTACACTGTCCTCTGGGAATGGGGTGGTTGAACGCAGTTGGGACAGCACTCATGGTCCTCACATGATTCTTTACTCTCTGTGTCACACTCTGAGGTGACACTTATTCTTTCACCAGGGCCACTTTCAAAGAAACGGCTGCAGACGTAGGTTCACTTTATCTTCATGACATCCTTGAAAAGTAGGCACAGCGTCTACTTTACAGATGAAGAAACTGAAGCGCAAAACTTGTTGCCTTTTTAAAGCTCTGTGGGAAATTCATGACAAAGCCAAGGGGAAATTAGTCAATCATTAGAATAATTATTACTACTATTGGAAGCCTCTATGCATGCCAGTAACTCAAAATATATACAGGGAACATGATCACATGAGTGTCTACTAATAAATCAGCCCTAACAGAATTAGTTACAATTTAGAGATAACTTTTAGGAAATGTATATTTACATTTCCTTAATATGCAACATACAATATATGTAATGTAAAACAATATGCAATATAAGATAAATTTGTCTTGTGTTAAAACATTCAACAAACACTGGAAATTCATTTTTTCCATTGGACTCCAAAACAATTGTTGATAATACTTTCTGTTTCATGGGTGAAAAAGCAGAGTGACAATGATGTTAAATGGTTTGCTCTTATAGCTAGTCAAACAGTTAGGATTCAATACCGTATGTCTTCTCATTCTAAATCCTATATTCTTTCCTTTATACCATGCAGCCTTGTGATGGAACTTTCAAAATGTTGTAAGATGGCTGAATGGTTGAACCAGCTATTATAACTTAGATATGTCTGCCCAAACAGACTGACTTGGTCTCTAATAATCAATTTTATGAAGCATAACTACTAGAGAAATGATGAAAAAGAGTAAATGGATAGTCAAAGGATTTGAGACCTAATTTCAGCCATATAGGTCATACACAGTCTTTAGACATATAAGGAGAAAGACCCATTTTCCCAGGAGGGAAGTATGCATATACTTTATCCATTTTAATAAAATATGACCCAGATGTGTCGTAGACTATTTATTCTCTCTGCCATCTGCCCTCCTGGCAGTCTTCACACCATCGACACATTCTGTGAACGCATTCTAATGTCGTTACCGTAGCTCGTGGAAGCCAAATTCTCACATACCATAACCACTTCACAGCCAGACTCTTTCTCAGGATTAGTTGACTCTATTGTGTCATTTTTCCTACTAGGCTAACTAGGGAGAAATAGAACCACACATTTGATCAAGTCAGTGCTGACATCTCTCCTCAGAATCTAAAGGCTGGTGTCCCTAGGAATCTTACTGCTCAGACATAGCCATAAGGCAAGTTTAAAACAGAGCGGACTAGCCACACATTGGTAACCCTCAGTCAGGGGTGGCTGTGAACTTTTGATTTTGTGTGTAATGCCCCGTCTTCTTTACCTTCTGAGCAAATTTACCTTGCACATTTCATGTTTTAAATGCTCATCTCAAGGTGATCTCTTTCATATGTTTTCATAGTAGGGATTTGAAATCAGCTATAGGACAAGCTGAATACATACACAGATATGTGTTAGTGTATGTATGTATGTACTCATAGTTTTAATCAGACAGCACAATATGCAATCTCAAGTCTCCTTAGAAATGTTTACTTCAGGGCAAATCAAACTTGAGCTTTGTGTGGCGGAAACAGTGCTGGCCCAAGGCCAAAGTGGGAAAAAACAGCAAGCAGGGCAGAGGTTATTGGCATGCCCTTCCAGTTTGCAGCAACTCTCGCCACGCTCTGACTAGCTGCCCAGGGTCCTTCACCATGGCATTATCAGCTCTGTTGGCCTCTGTGCTTTTCAGGGCCTTGTTCATGGGAATGGGGCATTTTTGTTAAGTCATAAATCTACCATCTACTAGTTTATGTTCTTTATCAAATAACCCTTTTGAAACTCGCCTGAGTTTCGTGCATGCATGTTGCATGCAGTCGAAATAGGAAGCATCTTCTGAAGACCGACACTATCAGTATACTTCCACAGTACTGGCTGCCATATTGGTATCCACTCAATGGCATTGCCGTGATCTCTGCAGGGAGACTTTGTCGGCATCTCCTGGGACTTTTGCTTTTTTCCCCCAGCAATGTAGCAAGCCAAATAGTATATAAGCAATATAGTATACATATAATACGTATTAGTTTTGAGGCACATGGCTGATAATTTATTTGTTTAGAGTATAGAAAGAAAGTATAGACCCACCACTTCCAGTATGTCCCACCTTGACTACAGGTTCGTTTCTGAACTATGTCGGACACACAGTGATTAATTTTGAAAATGGAATTGGACTAGGGATAGTCATCAGTATGTGGAGGATTCTTGGCAGCTCCTAGTACCTGTATCCAAAACTCTAACACGAAGCCATAAGAGAACTACTGTTGGTGCCTAAAGAGTTCGAGTCCTCTTGGTAATAATAACTGTACATGAATGAAATCAACATTTGGATGGCGAAAGAATATCCCATATTGGAAAGTAATCATAGCTTTTATGCTCTTGTGTGTGTGTGTGTGCTTTGACAGCTTTTTGGAGACTACAGCCTATTTCTTCATGAAACCAAAAATTGGAGAGAAGGAGGTGTCCCCAAATGTTTTCTTCAGTATCTGGCATGAATTCAGCTCTGACTTTAAAGATTTTTGGAAGAAAGAGAACAAACTTATTCTACAAGAGAGGTAGGTTTTTTTTCATTTGCACAATGACATTTTAAAACTGGTGTTTTATTGGGTGTGACATCACTGGAGGTGCCAATTTTTATAGCCTGAATGAGAAATTAGATAGCCCTCAACCTGGGGTATCAAGTCTAAGAGGGTGCTGAGATTTGGCAAAATCTGGAGTTTGAGTAGCAGAGTGGGCACAGAGGCTGTGATGCTCAGAGAATAGCTGGGGTCCTAGTTGGCCAGGACCAGTCTTCTGTGGTGAGGAGCAACTTCTGTGATGAGGAAAACACACAGAAGCAGACCTTGGAGGAGGAGTGGAACAACCCTGCTGAGATGATAAACCCACTCACCTCAAAGGACAGATAGCAAAGACTATATATAAAGGTAAGATGAATTGTTTTTGGTTTTGTTTTATTTTGTTTTGTTTTTGCTAAATTCGTGGGATATTGTCAAAATTTCACTGTTCGTATCAAAATTTCTCCCAGATGTCACCAAGAAACAGGTGATTGATATTTTTTAAAAGATCTTTCAAGATTTTTGTAGAGTTACATCACATTCCCTAAGGGAAATCTTTTCAGGAATGAAGGGAAATTTCTCCTTTTAAGTATATGAAATTAAGTCTCTGTCACTGTGATGATAAAATTCCATAGAGGTGTATTAAATGTTAATTCAGGAAGAAAGCTAGCCCTCCCAGGACAGCATCCCCAAATAGCTGGGTCTAGTGGGAGAATGAAAAAGAAACATAATCTACACTGTAAACCAAACCCTAATACTGAACCAATTAGTATACTTTCCAACATCCTCTCAATAACAATGACTTGACTTTAGATCTTTAGGAAGCTTACATCCTAAGGGACTTTGTTCATCACACCAAAAGATTCCACAATTTTCTGCTATTGTCTTCATTTTGGTCTTGCTTACATACAAAACCATGATGGTTCACCTAGTTTTCATTTGTAAGTAGATTCTGCTACATCCTTAAATCAGATGAAATTAATTACTAGCATTTATTGAGCATATAGACGATGCCAGATTTGTGCTAACTCATGTAAGTAATTACTTAGGTTCCATAGCTTTATCAGAGAAGAAACTATGCTCAGTGAATAGTAGATGGGAAAAGAGAGCGGTTTGAACAGAAGGAAAACACTTAAAACATCCACTCTGAAGATAATGAGCTTATTCTACTTCAAAATGCATCATTAGGGGTTAACATAAAAGATCTGATTTTAGTCAAAAGTCATGCAGGTAACATAGGAGAGAGAATTGCTGAAAAACAAGCATGTTTGAATCATCGTTCATTGCCTTCAGACTTAGCTATGTGTTATCAGTTTTTTTTACCAAGCAAGGCTTGCTCAGTCAATCTGGAAAACTGCAAAGAGGAAAGTTTTTTTTACCTTGCACATCACATCCAACTTCCCTTGGTGTCCCTCACTGGTTCCCCAGAGGCCTCCTTTCATCTCTAGTCTAAACCTGTTTCCCTGGAAAAGGACCTGAAACTCAGATAGACTAAGCACAAAACTGAAAGGTTGGTGTTTCCCCTGGCACCGTCACTGCCTGGTAGCCGGGATTAGAGTCCTACGAGGGGGGTGGAAGTGGTGGGATTTAGGCATCAACATGACAGGACTGATGAAGCTGTGCTTTGGGTGGAGCTTTTCTGATAGGACATCAAGTCAGCAGGTGAATTGCAGCAGCAGGCCGGCCTGGTCCAATGATGGTGCCTCTGGAGGCTCTGGGACAAGAGCGTAGGTGGACGCTGTCATTGTAGCTCTCCTTTACCATGTGCCAGTACCTGAGCTGGTGACGCGCCATCTTGGAGGAAGTGTGGAGACTAAGCCAGGTGTCCAGCTCCCTCATCACACTCCCAGCCCTCATCCAGCCTGTGCCCCGTGAGAGAGAGTTGTGTTTCCAGGGAACGCTATCAATAACAACCCACTATTTTATGATATTTTATGCATTTGACAGGACCAGAACTAGCTTTTCTTCACTCTCTAAGTTTCTCATAAAGTCAACCAGATCCTTTTTTCAGACTGCATCCTGTGCTGGTCATGACCTAGAAATACACTATGGGCTTTTTGACTCACACTTGGTGACTTTACTTTCATTTTGGCAGTGTTGTGAATTGGCAGATTACGAGTGCTCTTCACTGCAGACTTCTCATTTTTCTAAATCATTTGCTTTTAATAAAGGGCTAAGGAGGAACACGTGGCAGGTGAGAGAGTGCTTCTTTGCCCTTTGACTTCCGAAATATATTACGTCTCTTGGCAGGTAGGCTGCTTTGAAAAGCAAGACCATTTCTGCAAATTGTTTGTAGCAAAACTTTGTCTCTGTCCTTAGTGCAGGATCAGCCACACAATTTAAAAGAAAAAGTGCAAAATGAACATGTGGGGCCTCTTGTTTAAAAATCATTAACAACTTCAAGACAGCAAATTGTCAAACCAAGCGCAGAGCCTTCTGGGAGCTGGGCTCTGTGTGACTCTCAAATGCACACCCAGGACGCCGGCCTCACCATGGTGTAAGGTTTATATCATATTTTCTGTGGTTCAATGGAAGGGTATTTCAGGAATGCTTTGATTGCCCTCCAACAGCGATAGGAAGCAGAGATGTGGTCAGTTAAGGGTGGAAAACCTCTGGTACAGTGGATGTCAGTGTGAGCAGAGCCTCAGGTAGTGCTCCAGATGCTTAAAATGGGATGCTATTCCCAGCCTGGTTGTTTCCTCCTCTATATTCCTGTAATATTTGTTATCTGCGTATTATGTTTAATGGTTGATCCTATACTGCCTAATGATATGTCTGTTTTTATTTTATACTATAACTTTTTTTGATGTTTGCATTTTAGTCTTTATTTCCCAATGAGATGTTTTGTGTGTTCATTTCTAGTACAGCTCTCACTGTGTCTTTCCCTTCTTAGTGTCTCCATAAATATTTGCCAATTTGACTCATTACATCATTGTATTTAACACGGATATGGAAATGAGAACTTAGCCTAGTAAAGTAATGAACATGTTTTCTTACATAAGCTTATTATCGTAGGTAATAAAAACCCCGCTCCAAATACTTGAAGCAAAGAGAGAGACTTTGTTTGTTTAGACAAGTCAAAACACAAAAGGGCAGGGATGGGACTTGCCTGTGGCTTTCTGCCTGAATGCAGAAATTCTAACCACAGGCCATGAGGGGTTAGTTAGGTGTGTCTGTACCTCTCTCCCCCACTGTCTGTCTTTTTAAACGTCCTCTCTCCTCCTCCTCCTCCTCCTTCTTGCTCTTCTCTCTCTCTCATCCTCAGTCTCTCACTCTCTTTCCCTCTCTCCCTCTCTCTCCCTCTTTCGTCTCCCTCCCACTCCCACCCACCTTGTGGTTTAACCTAATTTCCAAGCCAGGCTTTTTCTTTAAGGTTGGACCCATGGCCATCAGTCACAATCATGATTTACATTCTCACATCCAGGAGGAGAGAGTACTCTCCACCATTTAGAAAAATCCCAATGAAGAATTCCAGATGAGTCATGTCCGTCTCTGGATCAGCCACTGTGGTCAGAGGCATGGGGTGCCCTGGTTTGCTCAGTGTTCACGCCCCGAAGCCTGCAGTCAGAGAGGAGGACTCCCATGACTGACATTTCCCTTCAGAACAGTAGCGTTGGAGTTAAGAGAGAGCACGTTCCCCAAAAAGCAAACAGAAACATACCACCCCCAATTTATTAAGCCTTTAAAAATAGCCTGTGTGATTAGCAGAATGTCTTAGCATGGTAGAAATAACCCAAAAGATGGTTTAATGGTGCAGATGAATTTTTCCTTTCTGATGAAGTTTTCCTTGCTCTAATTTGGAATTTATCCTTATCCCATTATTTCTAACTGGTATCTGATTATAGAGTGGTAGTAACTTTGTATTTTTTGGCTTTGTTCTGAGGACTCATATGATTTAGTAGATGTTTTTCCTGAAATGCTGGATTTCTACACATCTGTGTGGAATAGATCTGCTGTCTTTCTAACCAGTGTGGTTTGGAAAACGTGAGGATTTTTGAGTTGGCTCTGCCGCTTACTAGCTCTCGGGTCATAGAAAGTCACGTGTCCTTCAAGAGCCACAGTTTCCTAACCTGCAGAGTGGAAGTGGTAATACCTGTGCAGACTAAAGGAGATATTGAGACTAGAGTATGAAGTACAGTGTCTACATGCTACATGCTCAGTGGCCGTTTCTCCATCATTTGATATAAATGATATCCTGATCATGACTATCTGTCAGGTGATAAAACATATTGCTAAGGCATATTAAGCATCTTAAGAACATAGTATGTAGATACAAGGCATTATTGTGACTCAGTTACTTACTTGGTTAAGTGAAATTTCTTGGTTCTGAGTCTGAGGATGAACTTTTGTTTGAGAATGTTCAGCAGCCTATCCCTTCAAATTTACATTATACTATACAAAGGAACTCCTGTTTTAATGCTTTAAACAACCAACCCATTGGTTTTGTGACAAGTCAGAAAAAATGTTTTTTTTGTATATTTGCAACTAGGCATATACGATTGTAAATAAGAAATCGTTCTCTAAAACAAAGTTTAGGCTTGTCATCACTGAGCAACACAAAACATATGAAAAAGAATTTTTAAAAAAATTTAGCTTGATTATATCCAGAAGAGGGGAGATAAACTAACATTTCTCTTGCCAAGCATTTCTGACAAGGTCTCACAGAACACAGTTTTAATATGTAAGGAAATGGGCAATCCTCATCTCTTGTTTTTCAGGAAGACATTAGCATCAGTGTCACCTCACTGCTAATGAGGCCCTGTGGAGCTAGGACAGCAAGAGCTATGTTAATTAGAGGAAAGAAGTACGGATTAATTGAGAGAACATACCCTGATGGAGAGACCGTGGTCCTGGGAAGGGAGAGCCATGTGCCTGCAGCAACTTCACTTCTCACTTTCGCTCTGCTGCAAGCTGAACTCGGTTTTCAGGCAGAGTCTTCAGCTGTATAACTATGTGCAGTTATCTGTGATTGTTCTCCGATTCCATTTTGAGATTTTACTGGGCACAGGACACGTTCAGGCCCATTTGCTGAAGGTTCTATCTTCCTTGAGCTAACAGTGTAGCACTGGTGTGGCAGGAGAAACCGGGGGTGGGAGGGGGATGAGTGCAGTCCAGAGCACTTTGACAGGGAGCCTGCAGTGGGTGTAGGATTTTCACAGGGAATCCCGGGAGGTAAGGGCCTTCTCGACAAGAAAATGTGCCTCTGGCATCCAGGCCTTAAACACCATAGTGTGTAGCCATAGCCTATCGTGATTTCAGTTTGAGTTGGTGTAAGACATTTTAACTTAATAAATCAGTTGTGACGTTAGTAAGGGTTATGTTTAAACTGTTGTCTAACTTAATTTACTGGTGTATTTTACTCTTAGACAGGTAGTCTTTGATGAACCAGGAGAAGGGATAGCTGCTCCTCTAATTGCACAAGCATGTGGCAGTCAAGTCTGGTTTCAGCCCAGCTGAATCTGTAATTAGAGGAAAAGGACTTGAATGCTTGGCCTTAGAAGGCTATGCATTAAATTGGAGAGCACCTCATGCCATGTTAACATTCCCGTTTCCATAATTTGTATCCAAGTGACCTGTATGTTCAGGTTTAAGTATGATGTTATTGGAGTAGAAGGAAGCAACCACTTTCAAAGCAATTGAAAACAAATCTAAAGAATAGAGCTAAGGAAAGAAAGTTTACTATTATCTAATAATATGTTTGTTGAATACCTAAGTGAAATTGCCTCTTGGGCTGCTATTTAGCAGTGTTGCATTGCAACAATAAATGAATTTGGCCAACCATTTCCCCCTTTGATTCAGGCATCAATGTTTAGAGAAACAACCCATAAAGAAATCCTAGTTCTGACCTCCTAAGGCTGAAGCTTTGGCAAGACAGTTGACAGACAAGATAGTCAGAATAATGGCTAATGGAGCCTGAGAATATGTAGGAAATATCTGCAGTCATTAAAGAAGTAATTAATATGCATTAAGGCATAATAAGCAATTCATTTATTTATTAGTTCAGTCAACAATTATTTATGCCCTGCTGTGTGCTAGGCAAATTTCCTGCCATGTGAATGTTACCCTCTAGCGAGAGAAGCAGACAATAACAAAGTCAACACATTTTTAAATTATAGGTTGAAATTAGTACTACAAGGAAAATAAACAGTGAACCGTTTTTGCAGAATAAAAAGCAGAAGAGCTTCATATAGAAAGTGTAGTCAGAGGATGCCTTTCTGAAAAGGCACCATTGATGTTGACACCTAAATAATGTGAGGGAGCAGCCATGTGAAGGGGCAAGGGTGGTGGGGGGCAACATGGTATGTGAGCCTGCCAGGCAGAGATGTAGGAAGTTCAAGACAACAAGGCAGAAAAGACCGACTATACTCCAAGAAAGATGAAGATCATGAGATGAATTTGACGAAATAGGCAGGGGCCTGGCCATTCAGGCCCTTGTAGGTCATGGTGAGAGGTTGACTTTTATTGTGCATGCAATAGGAAGTCATCCGAGGGGTTTTTAAAAAGGGAATAACCTCATATGATTCATGAAACGAAAAGATCACTGAGTCGGTGGGTAGTAAATTAGACAATGGTACTGAGAAACAAGTTAGGAAGTTGCTGTAGTGGCCCAGCTGAAAGATGTGATGCTCTGGACTGGGGTGAAGGCAAGAGAGATGAGGTGTTGGATATAAACTTTCGTTGGATACCTACACAAACTTGCCATCCACAGGTTCCTCGCTGGACCAGTTTTGGAGGACAGAAAATTCTGTCTCAGTTCAGATACTGACAAGCTTAGGTTAACCAAGATGTTAGAGATCAGGAAAGCAAAATTCCCCTTTCTTCTCCTAAAATGATTACAAAAAGTCAGGGTTAGAGAAAGATCTGAAACCCTGGATATTAGGAAATTCACTTTCTACAACTTAGTTGTCCAAAAATGATATAAAATCCTGAAGAGAAGACCAGATGGGAAAGATCTTTGCATCTCCTTCTTTATCTTGCTGTGTTCTAAGAGATGTTTTTTAAACTTTGGAAAATCCTTCCTCAAAAGCCTTATGTTCAAAAATGGAAGAAACTCACCCTTAGAGCTTCCAGTTTGAGCCCCCCAACAGAGAATCAAGACCAAGAGCCAAGAAAATAGCTTGTCCAAAGATATTTTTGCTTTGAAAAGAATTTAAACATTCTTACACCTTCTGGTGAGTTGATAGAGCCTTATAAAGGTATCTGAGCAATTATTAATGTCCCTTGAGCATTTGCTAAAAATATTTTTTGATGTCTTAGCAAAGTTTGTAGTAAAACCATCTTGGATCAAAATACGCTTCATGGAGTAAGGATATTTAAAATTAGCCACTAAAAATAACATCATGTAGCTTCTATGGGCTGAAAACAAGTTCCTATAAAAGCTGTTCCTTCGCAAGCAAGATGTTATTTTTAAGGGGTCATTTTAAGTTTCTTTGCGGTTCTCTCAAACCGTGTAATGGTTGTAATCTGCTCGAGGAGGAGGACCAGATCCGTTCAATTTGTATAATGTCAAATTAACAAATTCTTAGGTTTGTGTGGACTTCGGCTGGAGCCTGGATTTTTCAGAGAGTGGAAAATGTGAGCTGTCAGGGGCTCCCCACAGTTCGTCCCACTGTGATATCCTCCATGCTGACTCTGAGGCGTCCCACAGCAGGGAATGCTTCCTCCAGCTCTGATGCAGGATTCCACTCGCAGACACCACCCGTGTTCCCCTTAGCGGGAGTGAAGCTTTAGAGAAATGCAAAATGTTTCTTCTGCACTTAAAAGTTTGGGATCTCAGGGTAAATAATGGCTAATCAGAGACTAGTCACGGAGAGAAGGAGGGAAGAGATGGTCTCTGCAGTGTTTTAGGTGTTGGTCTTTACAACAGGTTTGGAGCCGGTGGCAAATGCTAGACCAATGCTGGTTATTTTATTTGACAAAGAGCAGTTAGCTCACTTGGTTTTGCCTGCTGAAGTCTGATTAAGATTTAGAAGCAACCGTGGTAAGGCATCAAACTCAATTTGTGAAAGCACCTGCTGAGTGTGTATGGGTACTGGAGGACGGGGTGCGGAGGGAACCAAGAATAGAGATCAGTATGGAGGCATTTTAAGAATGTATATTTCAATATAGGACATAAAAAGAAAATAAGGGAATATTCATATGTCTGGTGAGGCTGCCGGGGAATGGTTTTAAGAAAGAAAGTAGAATGGCTAATCAGCACATGAAAAGATGCGCCATCATTAGCCTTCGCGAAAACGCCAATCAAAACCACAGTGAGATACACTATGTGCCTGCTAGGATGGCTGTAATCCAAGAAATAGGCAAGACCAAGTGCAGTGGGGGGAAATGAGGAGACTGTGTGGAGCCCTCACACACTGCTGGCGGGAATGTAAAATAGTGCGGCCACTTTGAAAAACAGGCATTTCCTCAAAGGGGTAAACCTAGAGTTACCATGGAACTCAAGCAGCTCCCTCCTGAGTGTGTACTGAAGTGAGCACGTGCACCCACACACACACTTGTACATGTATGTTCATAGCAGCATTCTCCATACTATCCAAAAAGTGCTAACAACCCAAATGTCCATCCACTGATAAATGGATAAATAAAATGTGGTGTATCCATACAATGGAATGTTATTTGGCAATAAAAAGAAATGAGGCATTGATATATGCTGTAATGTGCATGAACCTTGAAAATATTATGCTAAGTGAATGAAGACAGTCACCAAAAAATACATATTGCATGATGTGATTTATGTGAAATTTCCAGAATTGGCAAAAAATATAGGCTCTGATAGTGGATCACCCCTTGTCAGCAGTTGGAGGGAGAGAGGAATGGGGAGTGACTGCTCATGACATTTCTTTTCAGGGATAGGGAATGTCCTAAAATTAGATGGTTGCACAACCCTGTGAAAATACTAAAAAACATTGAATTGTCCACTTGAAATGAGTGAATTTTATAGTATGTGAATGCTATCTCAGTAAAGCTGTTTGTAAAAAAAGAAAGCTGAATTCTCACATCAGAGTTCTAAGCATAAAGGTGGACCACAATTGAATGCACTGACCCCCTTCAGTGATCTCTTTCGATTGTTCACGGTTTTGAAATCCTCCATTTGTCCCCTCGTCTTCCTTCCTGATACACTCCTGGCCATTTCCCCTGTGCCCAGAGAGTTCTGTATGGACTCAAGGAAAGAAAATCTTTTAACTACTAATGTGAATATTAGCTAAGTCAAAATTTGGGAGATAAATCTGCTGGCAAAAACTGTAAAAAAAATCGCACAACTCATTCCAAAATTCAGTCTCCATCGATTTAGATAATTGGTAATTTATTAGCTTGGCCCTGTAGTGATGAAATGAGCCAGTGCTTTCCCTATGTAAACCTATTTCAGGAAATCATAAGTCATGTTAAAAATATACACACACATAATAGGTCTTGTGTGTATTCTGAAATTATTCATCTATTGCAAATAAACTTTTTTCCAATCCAATCTCCATAGGAGGAGTCAGATTGTCCAAGTTTTCTTAATCTGTATTTCTAATGGGGGAAGAGATAAATCCTTCAGAAAAAAAGAGTGGATACAATCATGGTTAAAATAAATAAAAATAAAAGGGAAAGAAACGCGTCTGCAGGTGCTTTGGGGTAGAGCCTCGTGTCTTTCCTTTCTGTGGAGTTCACCCTCTGCCATCTCCCCGCAACGTCTCCACCTGGGTTTGCTGGCCCCGGCTCTTCCTTGGCTTTTCGGGTGCTCAGTCAGCACCGCCCTCCACGGGCCTCCTGACCAAGTTGCTGCTCAGGGTTTTTCCTTCTGCTTATCGTAAACGGTTGGGCCTAGAAACTTGACCCTTGGGCGGCTGCTAGGTCACAAGAGGAATTTTGAGCCCATGGAAAGGAGACGCGCTTGAGGCAGACAGTATAGAGACAGACTTTATATACGGTGCTTCCCAGTGAGTGGGCACTCAGTGGAGATTCACCATGTTGATGCTGAAGAACTGGTTAAGGAATCACAGTGTGGTCTTGGATATTGGCATTTCTAATCAATTCCAGTGTCCATCACTTGAATGACCATCATAGCAAATTTGTATCCTGTAGCTTGGGTTCGTTGGTTTATGTAGAAAGCTGTTATTTACAGTTTGTTCCTCCTTTAAAGGATCTTTAAATTGTCGTCGTCATCGCTGTCATCATCTTTATTTAAACTACTATTATATATACATAATATTTTTTTGCTTTTTTTTTTTTGAGGAAGATTAGCCCTGAGCTAACATCTGCTGTCAATCCTCCTCTTCTTGTTGAGGAAGACTGGCCCTGAGCTAACATCCATGCCCATCTTCCTCTACTTTATATGTGGAATGCCTACCACAGCATGGCTTTTGCCAAGCGGTGCCATTCCGCACGCAGGATCGGGATGGGTGAACCCTGGGCCGCCGAGAAGCAGAACATGCGAACTTAACCACTGCACCACTGGGCCAGCCCCTACATAATATTTCTTATATGTATATTATAATTTCTTATCAAATTCAAATTCTAGTACTCTTGGAGTTTTAGGAGCTATGATTTTGCAATTTTTAAGAATAATTATATTGCAGAGCCAAAAAAAAGAAAATCGCACTATACCTATATTAATTCCTAAAATGGTGTGACTTTGTTTTTTGCAATTTAGACTTTCTAACTATAATATTATTAACATATAGATTATAGATACTCCCAGTGGTCTGTCTGCTCAGTCTTTTTGCGTGTTGTCTTATATAAAGCCTGTGAGCATTTTCATTTTATTTTATTTCCTTCCATTTTGATTTATTTTGCTTTTGTTTCCTGAGTAAGATCTGTAATAAAACACTTGAGATCACTGATACTTTGAATGTCTTTCTAAGTTTGAAAAATTTATTTAATCAACTTCATCTGTCACTTTATCTTGTAGAGTGATGTTAAACATTCTCTGAATAATCCATCAGCTTTGTCTCCATCCTCTCCCACACGGCCCTGGCCATGTTCCACCTCCGATTGATTATAAAGGTTGCCCCTGCCTTTAGGAAGAGCGGTTGCGCTGGCACCCGCAAGTCACACGCTCTGTCTAGGTGAAAGAAAGTGTTCCTGGCCAACATGTCTCCACAGCTCATTGATCTTTCTCTGGAGAAAGGCTGGTATGTCTCCTTACAGACTCCTTCCTTGAATGATTTAAAACTTGATGCTGAGCTATATGAAGTCCTATTCGGATAGCTGTGCCTCACCGAGGGAGGGTCATGCGGAGGGTGGGGCCACTTCTGCATTTACAAAAAGGGCACACAGTCCTCTCCTTGCGTAAGCTGCATCTACCATTGCATTGTACATGGTTAGCTGATGGTTAGACCTGGCAACGTAAAACTAAAAGGCAGACGAGGAGGAAGGGGCCCTTGTATGAGCGCACAGTCAGGAGGTGGGCCTGCCCGAGTGTTTGGAGACATGCAGATTCAAGCTTTCTGGCTTTTTGTAAGGAAATACTCATTTTCAGAAAGTACTGGCCTCGAGGAGAACAGAATTCTGGCTGTGTTGGTGGAGACTGTAGCTGTTTTGCTATGAGCAGAATAGACCAGGGTGGTGAGGTCACCACCCTCTTTTCTCGGGCTTCGATGTTCTTGTGCCCCTGGAGTGGTTCTGGAGGTGAGCTGGGACGGGGGCTGATTGCAGGGTGCTCTGGGGGCAGGCCAGCAGTCAGCATTAAGGGCCACCTGCTTGCTTCCTCAGCAGGGCCTGATCCCCTGAGTCCCATTAACCCCAAGGTGACCCTCGTCTCCACCAAATTAGGAGCAGTGGGGCCCCGGAAGAGGACCGTGTGCTTAATTTAGATTCCATCAGGGTCGGCTTCGTGGGAGCGTGTACAGAACCCATAACGAGGCACGATACAGTGCTGTGGTTTGTTTTTGTAAATAAACAGCCAATAATCTAAAGTTATATTAATGACTTAGTGTTTTATCTATATATTTAAGTGCTATTAATAGTCTTCTGTTATTTTATAACATGAGCATCTGAAGTGGGCTGCATTTACCGTCACTTTGAAAAATGATAAAACTTTAAATTAGATCAGATTGTAGAGACATTCACTCTTTTTCGAAAGAGTGGGTAGCTTGGTGATGCGGAAAACACACACATCGGAATCTAGAAGTGAGAGTTTGCCTGTGAGAATCCCTAACCCTCTAAGCTTTCATTTATCAGGAGAGCGTGTCACAGGTCAGCCTCTAACATTTATTGGGGGAGGAAGAGGGAAGGAGGTGGAAGTATTAATCTTTAAGATATTCTAATTATCGCTAAATATTTAGAGAAAACGTATTTTCCCAAAATAAAGCACAACAGAAATAAAAGCATATTCGTGGTAGATCTTAATTTTATGAGATGGAAATATTTTTTAAAGTTAACCTCTTTAGTTCAAATTCCTGTGCCTTAGGGGTGAATATTTTTGGAAAGTTTGATAAAATTCCATTTGGCCACTTTAAAGTTTTCCAAGTGTGTGGGGAGGTAAATAAGATGAGGAATAATTGGGAAAAAGTCTATTTCATCAGTTAGGAGAATTTCAGATGCTCACAGATAATGCAAAGCTTTCATTTTAAAATCAGTCTAGATGTGGATATTAATGTATTCTTAAACTCATGCTGTTTTTAGGACAGAAGCAACTCATAATTCTGTGCCTCTGATTAATTTTCTTAATGTTTTCATTTTACAAGTTTGCAATAAAAGCACAGAGTACTGGAGCATGAACTTGAGGCTAGATGGTGTTAATGGCAAATAAGAGAAAAAGGTAGAAAAGCACTTTTTTTCTTTAATATGGACAGACAGACAGTTGGATGGATGGATGGAGAGTTATTGGAAATCATACATAACCATTGAGGGAAAAATACAATCCACGTATGTGAAAGTGTTGTTACTATGAGGAAAGCTTAAATTGGCTCCTCTTCTGCAAGCTCTCTACTTCACCTGTTATTGATAAGGAAAAAGGCAAAGGACTCACAACACACTTTACGCCAGATTATGATCTACTCGTGTGTCTCAAACATTCAGATGAGATTCAGGGACCACACACAACCTCTTGACTTAAGGGAGGCGAGAACATGACCCTCAGAAAGCTGGTGGGTTGTGGTGAAAAGGAAAAAATTATGTCAACTTCCATACACATTTTACCATTCATGGGTAGTTATTAAAAACAAGTTTCAGAATGATGCTGATCTGAGAAAAACTAAGAATTAAGGTTCACATCCAAATTCTTAATTATTAGTGGCCATTTTCTATTTTCTGCCTGAGGGTTTAATGAGTTCCCTAACAGGAATAGTGGAGTTCACAGACTTTGGGATCAATTATTATAATACATACAGTTTATTCGTAATTGTATAGTCCAGAGTCATAACCCCTTGTCTACAATTTGGAGATCCCAAAACCTCTGAAGCCAGAAGTTTCTTTATAAGTTTGTGGCAAACTCAACCTACATGAAGCTGTCTACAGTCATTACCATCCCACATAGAGTGAGTGTTCATACCTTACTGCAGAAATATTAATGTGTTTGGTTACTCCATGCTGTGTCATGTTAGTGTTATATACCATATTTCTGTCTGAAATTAGAAACGTTCTCAATTCTGTAATCCATCTAGCCCCAGGGGTTTTGGGTAAAGGATTATAGAATGAACAGATATCTGGCTGACTGAAGCCTGTGCTCACTGACCCTAATTCCCTCTCTAGAACCACACAAAGAAATTCAATCCCCTGTTCATGTAATGGGTCTTCAGATATTCAAGGTTAGCTGTGAAGATGCTGTCAGGTTTTCCATTGTCCTGACATAGTATTCCCAGTTCTTTTAATTGTTCTGGAAACTCTTCGGACTTGTTCTGTTTCGTGTAGCTTCCCGCTCAGCCTGGGCCACGTCCTCTGTTATTTCAGCTATGTTCTTACTGGCGCCATGGTTTCACAACAGATTACACTTCTTAATACTCCTAATATCAGCAAGGCCATACCCTTCACCTTTCTTGCTCTGGGAGAAATTTTCCAAGCTGGATTATTTCAAAATCAGTGTTCCCCAACCTAAAGCAGATTCTCTAAGGAATGGATATCCTGAGACAAGTCCTGGGAACCAAGAAGGGGATGGGAAGTCAAGAATGCTTTTATCCCACGTTTAATTTCTCTTTGTAATTGCTCCCCACAGTGCCTTCTTGCACT